CTTATCCGTTTCATCTGCATCAGGGCAGAGGAATCAGAAGTCATACTGTTTTTTACAATCACATCATTACAGTTGTGTAAAAAGCAAAGACAAAAACACACTAAAGCCGAAGCTTGGTAATGCTGTGCGTTTTAGCTTGCTTGTGTGAAGATGTATGTGCTGAGTGCATGCTTTCCTAAATTGTGTGTGTTCTTGATGCAGTTGTGTGTGCGTTTCTCAGGCCAGCTGTCCACTGAACTGTTATGTAGCAAAGCTTATGTAATACAGCAATGCACATCGCCCACATGCACATCCTGGTCACATCAGCATGTCACAGTAGCTCAAGACAATAATACAAGCACATCATGTTCTGGCTCTGCTTATTTCTGTGAAAGCAACTGCTGTTCGTGTGTAAATGTGTATCGAGCGACCTGTGTGAACATTTGTGTTGCACATACAAGCTCAACTGCATCTGCATGGCTAGATAGAACAGAGTCCATCATAAACATTAAGTTGTCTATGTGCCAATAATTTGAGGAATAGTTTACCCAAAAATTCTAACTTTCTTTTGTGCAACACAAAAGAAGAGATTGAGGAAATATAATACTTTCACACTGGACTCCATTGACTTTCACTGTATAGACAAAAATACTAATTTTTCAAAATATGTTCCAAATAAGAAATAAAGTCATACAAGTTCTGAAACACATGAGGGTGAGTAAACAGAATAACAGAATTGTCATGATTGGGTATGTATCCCTTTAAATGTATGTGTAAGGCAGAAAAGAAAGAAATTAGAATAAAGAAATTTTTCAAAATATGTTCCAAATAAGAAATAAAGTCATACAAGTTCTGAAACACATGAGGGTGAGTAAACAATAACAGAATTGTCATGATTGGGTATGTATCCCTTTAAATGTATGTGTAAGGCAGAAAAGAAAGAAATTAGAATAAAGAGAGAGAGAGAACTATTTTAAGTATAGCTGTGATAAATGCAGAAATTGTGTTTGTGTAAGTGTATTCGTACACTGCCAAGCGTGGTGTAAACGCAGGTGTGTGTGTGTCTCTCTTACCGGTTCCTCTGGGTACATGGTGTCTCCGCAGTGCTGCTTAGTGCAGAATATCCTATAATGGGAGACGCAGTAGCAAGCGACTCTAAACTGGGCTGGATGCAGGATGCTAGAGCCAGTGCAGAGCGCAAATACACATGCACACAAACACAGAGCATCACTCTCCTCACACCCTCCTATTCAACACAGTCACGTCATGCTGAACATCCCGACCCAAAATCTCTCCCGCTCTCCCTCTGTTCTCAGAGAGATTAAGCAAATCTTCATGTGACATAAAAGACAATCCTTCTGTTCACACGCACAGATGATGGAAGGAACTACAGACAGAGTTTTCATCTATTTCTCTCATCAAACTCTCTCTCTCAGGAGAGTGAGATATATTGGTATGTGCTCCATGTTCCTCCACATGACCTTTGGTCGCGCACATTAACAGACACATTTGCACAAACAGAACACGCCTTGCTCAGTTTCAAAGAGTCTTTACCTATGGCATACTGAAGACTACTGAAATGCCATGATGCCAAGACCCTTATTTTGGTTTGAGGATTTCTGATGTTTACAGGCAGTCCATCATGTGGGGATGGGAACAGGTTGGCATTTAGACAGTATTTAGTGTGACGGAAAATGTGAAATTTGTAAATTGGTAGAGAGATTTTGCTATACCATTAAAACAACAGAAGATATATTTAATCAGCTATCACCATGATTTTTACATTACATTGACAAAGAAACCAGCTAAAAACAGAGGGCGACAAATCCCAAACACGTCAAGAGGAGTTACATATGCAGCAAATATAAAAATATAAATTTTGCGATTTCAATCACGATTTTGACACACACAGACATGCTTTACAGTCATAAATGCATTCAGTGTGAATTTGAAACATATTTCCAAAAGAAAACCAATTACAGCTTTATCACAAAGCTGTAACATGTCTCAGAACAGACATAAGGCAAAATAATCACCAAGTAAAAGTGTAACAAAATTACTCTAGAATAGACATATGGCAGAAAAAAATAAAAATAAAATCCCGTGTCCAGGGATTTTTTTTTTTGCCATGCATTGGTCACAGAGCACTTTGTGGCGTTGCCTCAGATGTTGAACTAGATTTGTTGCGCCAAGTCCACACGTACTCCGTCTGCAGTGAATATACATATGTGTATGCGGTGCAGAACACGCACCACTCCTGGAGCGCACTGCCGGAGAGCAATCACGTGCAGTGTAAACGCTCTGATCCGTTAACATGGGCGCGGAAAAAATACGCACCTCAGACGGAGTGTGTGAACCTGGCGTTACGTTTGTATGCCCGCCCGGTCTGTTCTGTTCTCGTGCTCCATTTAGGCGCGCTGCATTCTGATTGGTTCAGATAGCATACTGCGGGAGGTCGGGGGTGCGGAAAATCGTGCTATAAAGCGATTTAGAAATCGTACACGCTCAAATCGCGATTTTATGACAATTTCGATTAATCGCATAGCCTTATTTGGGACTCGTAATATTTTAATGTTTTTCTAATAAATCTCTTATGTTTACTGAGGTTGCATTTAATTAATGAAAAATACAGTAAAAACTGTCATACTGGGAAATATTATTAGATGTTGAACTAGATTTGTTGCGCCAAGTCCACACGTACTCCGTCTGCAGTGAATATACATATGTGTATGCGGTGCAGAAGCAGCAGACTCATTTTGATGCGTTTGCAGTCCGCTCCTGATCCGCGGCTGTTTACCACAAACAACATTTATACATTATTTTGATTTCAAATCCAAACGTTGTTTCTGAAAATGCTTTTTCAGCATTGTGATTCTCTTTTATCACAGTACAGTAATACAATCTTTCATAGACATATTCACGTTTAAACTCAATAAATATAACTTTGTTTAACTACCACCACGAGTGCCATCTATTATTGCCTTGTTTATCTAAAAGTGCACTTTTCCTTGTTTTAAATCTAGCCAAAAAGTCATGTGTTGACTGTGAAACAGTAGACTATAATTATATGCATTTATGGTGTAATTACAATATTTCCGTGCCAATCCATGTTATTTTTTACCGCGAATAATGCGCTGTCACTTTCAGCGCGTGCAGCACAGCAGAAATAGACTCCGTGCGGAAACGATCGCAGCATGACTGCTGCACACGCACCACTCCTGGAGCGCACTGCCGGAGAGCAATCACGTGCAGTGTAAACGCTCTGATCCGTTAACATGGGCGCGGAAAAAATACGCACCTCAGACGGAGTGTGTGAACCTGGCGTTACGTTTGTATGCCCGCCCGGTCTGTTCTGTTCTCGTGCTCCATTTAGGCGCGCTGCATTCTGATTGGTTCAGATAGCATACTGCGGGAGGTCGGGGGTGCGGAAAATCGTGCTATAAAGCGATTTAGAAATCGTACACGCTCAAATCGCGATTTTATGACGATTTCGATTAATCGCATAGCCTTATTTGGGACTCGTAATATTTTAATGTTTTTCTAATAAATCTCTTATGTTTACTGAGGTTGCATTTAATTAATGAAAAATACAGTAAAAACTGTCATACTGGGAAATATTATTATTATTCAAAACAACTGTTTTGTATTTGAATATATTGTAAAAGGAACATTTATTCCCGTGATGCAAAGCTGAATTTTCAGCAGCCATTACTCCAGGCTTCAGCATCACATGATCCTTCAGAAACCATTCTAATATGCTGATTTGCATATTATTTGTCTTTACTGTCAGTTTTTATCAGTTGAACACATCCTTGTCAATTAAAAGTTTTTTTGAACGATAGTGTATCTGTGTGAGTGAGCATTAAAAACAAAGTATTCACGCCATCTTACACATGCCATGATGACACAACAGCAAATATTTGCTGTTTAGCAGAAATGCTGTGATGACACAGCAGAAGGATAAGACAGAAAAACAGTGGGAGGAGATTACGAAAATAAGAGCTTCAGGGAAAGTCCGTGCGGAAACGATCGCAGCATGACTGCTGCACACGCACCGCTCCTGGAGCGCACTGCCGGAGAGCAATCACGTGCAGTGTGAACGCTCTGATCCGTTAACATGGGCGCGGAAAAAATACGCACCTCAGACGGAGTGTGTGAACCTGGCGTATGGGATCAGAATCCCGCCTAAAGTATTGCAGTCATGGATAAAAAAAAGAACAAGGATGAAAACAAAATTTAAAAACGCAAGTAAAAAATATATTGCACAAGATTTAAAAATGAAAGCAAAGTTTTCAGAATTGCAAACAATGGTCACGGATTAAAAAATACCAGTCTTCAGCATCACATGATCCTTCAGAAACCATTCTAATATGCTGATTTGCATATTATTTGTCTTTACTGTCAGTTTTTATCAGTTGAACACATCCTTGTCAATTAAAAGTTTTTTTGAACGATAGTGTATCTGTGTGAGTGAGCATTAAAAACAAAGTATTCACGCCATCTTACACATGCCATGATGACACAACAGCAAATATTTGCTGTTTAGCAGAAATGCTGTGATGACACAGCAGAAGGATAAGACAGAAAAACAGTGGGAGGAGATTACGAAAATAAGAGCTTCAGGGAAAGGAGGGAGTGTGACTGTGAGAGAGAGAAAGAGAGAGAATGAAAGAGAGCAATGGCTTAAAAAAAAATAATGAGTCCAATACAGTGTCATACAGGAATGTGTTTAAAGAATGAACATGTCTACATGTTTGTGTGTATCAAACAGATCGTATGCGTGTCAGCTTTTCTTAAATCTCTTTTCTTCTCAACAGCTAAGTTAAAGTCAAGTTTTGCCGCACGTTACCTCTTTACAGTCAAGCCCCAGATCAAATAGTAAGATACTGTGTGATAGGGTGTGATGAGTGTAAAGAGCGTTTGCAAACAAGCTTCATTTTTGAAATTCCGCTAGGTGACACTAATAGCACAGAAACTTAATAACATCACCTTTAATGAGTGGGTATACAAGTGAGTCTCACCTGTAGGTAATCAGTTGAACCGCTGCTGAGATCATCCCCGGATTCTGAATCATTTCGGGTCTTATCCAAGCCGCCTCCCTCTCTAGCAAACTCTTCATAAATTGCATCTTTTTCCAGTCCACGACTGCTCTTCTCTAACTCTTTATCTCCATCTACTTTGTGACTTGGGGACTCGGCTCTGGAACGAGGAAGTGAGCCAGGTGAAGTGTTCATTTGTGTGGGGGGGACGAGCGCCGTTGGGCTGCCCGGGCTGCCTCTGTCATCCCTGGGCGGCAGTAAAGCACTGCCAGAGGGAGAGGGACATGGGCTCTTTTTGTTGTCACATGGCCGCTGAATCTCCAGGCCAGATGGTCGAATGGGTCCAGTCCCCCCTCGGCCTGCTGCACCGAGGGGTTTAGGAGGGGGCATGAGAGCACGTCGCACCTCCCGCACATACTGTGCTGGGACATAGAAGGGTTTAGTGGCCTCATCCTTGCGCACCTGCCACCAGTCTTCATTGGTCTTCTTCACAAGCATGTAACTTTCCCCCTGTTTAATGGTGATCAAACGGTCTTTGTATTTGTACTCGTAGTCAGACTCCACCTCTATGTACGTCTGACCTGGAGCCACCGAGCGGTCCGCCATTGCTGTCAGATGTCAAAGGTCAACAGCAGAAGGAGTGGGGCATGTTAAGGTGTGTTGGGTTGAAATGGAATCAGCTAAAGGAGAAAGAGAGAGAGACAAGAGGACATTTTATCAGAAATATCAATGACTGATGACAGGATTGAAATGTTCTGCGATTGCAAAGTCATGGCAGTGTTGCGGGAAATGACTGAATATTAACAAATAAATGCTTGGCCAAGCAATGTCATTCGGTTTCCTCTTTGACTCCGAAAAAAACTGATCATAAAAAATGATCAATTAAATTGAAAAAAAAATATATATAATCAAATTATATAAAATGTATGCTGTTGATTTTCCTACTTCCAGTCACGTGATGTCATTAAACTGGCTTGTTAATTTAATTGATAATAAAGACTAATCAAAATGGAAAGCAAAACTGGAAAAAAAATTAAAAAAAATACAATTATTACCTATTAAAATTACAAAGAAATAGTTTAAAACATTTGGAGTGAGAGAAAAAGAAACAAACAAAGCTATTAATTAAATTCTTTCTTTCATGTTTTTGGACTAGAATACCAACCAGGTTTCATTCACAGGGTATTTTTATTTATCATGGGAAAACTTTTAATGAATGACAAGAATGTCAGTGAGCACAAAGCCAGTGATTCAGTTAATCGAATAAATAAATAATGCACAAAAAGTTTAAAAAGACAACGTAAGAGCAAAACGTGACAGAAGCTCCACCCACCCAAACACACACACACACACACACACACACACACACACAGAGAGAGAGAGAGAGAGAGAGAGAGAGAGAGAGAGAGAGAGAGCGAGAGAGAGAGACCTCGTTATCTCCAACACAATCACTCACACACATACTACCCCCTTTCAACATGACAGTTGAAAGTGCTGTTATGTAGATTTTAAACTCTGTAAAGCCGTTTAAATTCAGTGTTAAACTGCATGGCAGTACATATAAAAAAACGTTTTACAATTTGCCGTTGTCAATTATAATTTCCCCCTATATGTGACATAAGACTAGCAATTTCCTTGCCATTTTACCTCCGCGTATGACACACATCTGTATCATTGTCATACACACACTTCAAACAATGACACACATCAATATCAAATGTCGCCAAATTAGCTTTCCCTGTCAAACATAATCCAACTGAATAAACAAAGTCCAAAAAATAAAAAAATCTATTACAAAAAAAAAATAAAAATGATAAAAAACAAGGACGCTAAAGAGAAGATCTTTAATCTGAGGTGGAGTTCCTTCCCTCAGGTGAGGGGCACACTTTAAAACTCACCTGTGTGACAGGTTAACTTTTCTAATTAAACTTTCAAATGTAATTTTCTCAGCAAATTCAGCGTTAAAGTCTGTATACATGGTTATCTCCACTGGAAAGCGGTGAGTAGCCCTGAGAAAACAGGTTCGCTCTCATTCCTACCTGCTAACCAGCTAACACGTTCACAAAATCCGTAAACCCGATTAAACACCTATAATTGTTTCTATTTCCACAGGTTACCGACAGATTAACGTACCTGACGAGATATTCCAGGTGGTTCGTGGGCTAGGGTTTAAGAAACATGACCAGTTTGGCGTTCATTGGTCTTGCTGGGACAGTTGAGCGTCGAAGTTCCTTCCTGAGCCGCGGCGCGAGCGAACTCCTCCGGCACGCTCGCGCCCACTTTCCCCACGAGCGCGCAGACGGGCCGGTGCCTGTGTGAACACACTCTGGAAGACCGTATGCCGGTAATCTGACGCCACCGTGAGGCTACTGATGAAAAGCATCACATAAGTAGGCTATCATTAAGAAACTGGGAATTCAAAAACAAGTGCTCTCCAAAATAATTTAAGTCGGCGTTTTCATTGCATTAGATAACAAAGTTATCAAAACAAGTGTCTATTTAAAAAAAAAATGACAGTACAAGCAAAATTTTCAGGGAGAAAATTAAAAAAATGGTAGGTTCTAAATGATAAAAACGATAGATATATTGTTCAAAAATTAAGACAGGAGGTATTTGGACACTGTCTGGTCGTCAGATGTAGAACACAATAGTTAACTACCTATTCTATTCTGCTAGCTATAGGGCACTTCCTCGTTCCAGATCTTTAGGGGAAATGACTTCATACACACACCAAAAAAGAAAAAAAAAACTTACCAATATCTGGATTACCAGTCCTAAATAAAACTACATATCACAATATAGGCTACTATACAAAGAACAAAAGATAGAATAGAGACAAAAAACAATGCAATAAAACAACACAAACATCCCGGCATTGATGTTTGTGAGATTTTTTTTTAATATGCAGTAATATATTTTGTAATTAATAGTTAAAACTTTATTCAAAGAAGTGCAGAGAATCTGTAGTATAACCAATACATTAATTGAGCTTCTTCTTCACAGACTGCTCAAAATAATCTGAAAGAGCAAAGGTTACTCATACATTTCCTCCTGTTTGAACTTTATTCCATCCAGCACACCTACCTTTACTGTCATAAAATACTAATCTATTTTCTTCCTGCTCAGTCTGGCAGTGAAATTGTGTCTGATGTTTCTTTGTGCTTTACTGTTTCTGTTGAAGGACTGCTGTCTCTGTGTTTAGTAAAATGGCAGAATCCAGTGTATATTTGGCTCGTGATCAGTTCAACTGGTCATTCCCTGTGGACACAGTTACTGTATGAGCTGTATTACAGGTTACTGGGATCAGGGTGATCAGAAGGGAGTCTACAGCTGCCCTCAGTGCAGACAGACCTTCACTCCAAGACCTGTTTTAGGTAAAAACACCATGCTGGCTGAAGTACTGGCGAAACTCAAGAAGTCAAAACTACAAGCTGCTCATCCTGCTCAATGTTATACTGGATCTAGAGATGTGGAGTGTGACGTCTGTACTGGGGACAAAAACAAAGCCATCAAGTCCTGTCTGGTGTGTCTGAACTCTTAAAATCATCTTGAAGAACATGAGACTGCAGGAGATGATCTGCCCTCAACATCAGGGACATGTACAGACATTTTGAGGGGCAGGGGCTCAAGTGGAAAAAAGGGCACCTCTCATATTTATTTTTATTTTTTTTCTAAACAAAACGTTAAATACATTAGGGGTGTGTGATATTGACAAAAAATATATATCTCAATATGTTCTGAGATTTTATTGATAACGATAATTAGACAATATTTTGCTGTGTGTGTTATTGTGCTGATATCTTAAGGACTACCGTGGACAGCTGACTCCTAAAGTTTTTTGATATTCTGCATATTCTGTGTGGTAATCAGTTCACAGCAGTGATAGAAATTAATATTTTCTAATAAGTTTAAATGGATTTTTTTTGACCTTTTATGGGCATTTTTACCTTTATAAAGCCCGTTTTTCTAAAAGTGTGCATAATCTTTTCAGTCAAATTCTTAAATTGAATCAGTCAATTAGAATAATTGGGCATTTGGGCAAATGAAATCAGTGTTTCAGACAAAATTAACCTTTGCAATGCAGAGAAAACACAGAAGCTGCATCAGAAGTGGCATTTAAATGCATTTACACATTGTTTAATGCAGGACAGGAATGCATTTAACCTGCAGTTACAAATGCATTAAAACTGTTTTGATATTTTAAACATAAAACATTGAATACAGATATTTAAAATTATTTTTAAAAAAATGAAAAGGCACTTTAAATGTAAAATCAAAACTGTCAGTAGGTGGCAGCAAGTCACTGTTAATAAGATAGTCATTGCATTGAAAAAATGATAAAAAACAAGGACGCTAAAGAGAAGATCTTTAATCTGAGGTGGAGTTCCTTCCCTCAGGTGAGGGGCACACTTTAAAACTCACCTGACTTTTCTAATTAAACGTTCAAATGTAATTTTCTCAACAAATTCAGCGTTAAAGTCTGTATACATGGTTATCTCCACTGGAAAGCGGTGAGTAGCCCTGAGAAAACAGGTTCGCTCTCATTCCTACCTGCTAACCAGCTAACACGTTCACAAAATCCGTAAACCCGATTAAACACCTATAATTGTTTCTATTTCCACAGGTTACCGACAGATTAACGTACCTGACGAGATATTCCAGGTGGTTCGTGGGCTAGGGTTTAAGAAACATGACCAGTTTGGCGTTCATTGGTCTTGCTGGGACAGTTGAGCGTCGAAGTTCCTTCCTGAGCCGCGGCGCGAGCGAACTCCTCCGGCACGCTCGCGCCCACTTTCCCCACGAGCGCGCAGACGGGCCGGTGCCTGTGTGAACACACTCTGGAAGACCGTATGCCGGTAATCTGACGCCACCGTGAGGCTACTGATGAAAAGCATCACATAAGTAGGCTATCATTAAGAAACTGGGAATTCAAAAACAAGTGCTCTCCAAAATAATTTAAGTCGGCGTTTTCATTGCATTAGATAACAAAGTTATCAAAACAAGTGTCTATTTAAAAAAAAAATGACAGTACAAGCAAAATTTTCAGGGAGAAAATTAAAAAAATGGTAGGTTCTAAATGATAAAAACGATAGATATATTGTTCAAAAATTAAGACAGGAGGTATTTGGACACTGTCTGGTCGTCAGATGTAGAACACAATAGTTAACTACCTATTCTATTCTGCTAGCTATAGGGCACTTCCTCGTTCCAGATCTTTAGGGGAAATGACTTCATACACACACCAAAAAAGAAAAAAAAAACTTACCAATATCTGGATTACCAGTCCTAAATAAAACTACATATCACAATATAGGCTACTATACAAAGAACAAAAGATAGAATAGAGACAAAAAACAATGCAATAAAACAACACAAACATCCCGGCATTGATGTTTGTGAGATTTTTTTTTAATATGCAGTAATATATTTTGTAATTAATAGTTAAAACTTTATTCAAAGAAGTGCAGAGAATCTGTAGTATAACCAATACATTAATTGAGCTTCTTCTTCACAGACTGCTCAAAATAATCTGAAAGAGCAAAGGTTACTCATACATTTCCTCCTGTTTGAACTTTATTCCATCCAGCACACCTACCTTTACTGTCATAAAATACTAATCTATTTTCTTCCTGCTCAGTCTGGCAGTGAAATTGTGTCTGATGTTTCTTTGTGCTTTACTGTTTCTGTTGAAGGACTGCTGTCTCTGTGTTTAGTAAAATGGCAGAATCCAGTGTATATTTGGCTCGTGATCAGTTCAACTGGTCATTCCCTGTGGACACAGTTACTGTATGAGCTGTATTACAGGTTACTGGGATCAGGGTGATCAGAAGGGAGTCTACAGCTGCCCTCAGTGCAGACAGACCTTCACTCCAAGACCTGTTTTAGGTAAAAACACCATGCTGGCTGAAGTACTGGAGAAACTCAAGAAGTCAAAAGTACAAGCTGCTCTTCCTGCTCAGGGTTACTCTGGATCTGGAGATATGGAGTGTGATGTCTGTACTGAGGACAAAAACAAAGCCATCAAGTCCTGTCTGGTGTGTCTGAACTCTTAAAATCATCTTGAAGAACATGAGACTGCAGGAGATGATCTGCCCTCAACATCAGGGACATGTACAGACATTTTGAGGGGCAGGGGCTCAAGTGGAAAAAAGGGCACCTCTCATATTTATTTTTATTTTTTTTCTAAACAAAACGTTAAATACATTAGGGGTGTGTGATATTGACAAAAAATATATATCTCAATATGTTCTGAGATTTTATTGATAACGATAATTAGACAATATTTTGCTGTGTGTGTTATTGTGCTGATATCTTAAGGACTACCGTGGACAGCTGACTCCTAAAGTTTTTTGATATTCTGCATATTCTGTGTGGTAATCAGTTCACAGCAGTGATAGAAATTAATATTTTCTAATAAGTTTAAATGGATTTTTTTTGACCTTTTATGGGCATTTTTACCTTTATAAAGCCCGTTTTTCTAAAAGTGTGCATAATCTTTTCAGTCAAATTCTTAAATTGAATCAGTCAATTAGAATAATTGGGCATTTGGGCAAATGAAATCAGTGTTTCAGACAAAATTAACCTTTGCAATGCAGAGAAAACACAGAAGCTGCATCAGAAGTGGCATTTAAATGCATTTACACATTGTTTAATGCAGGACAGGAATGCATTTAACCTGCAGTTACAAATGCATTAATACTGTTTTGATATTTTAAACATAAAACATTGAATACTGATATTTAAAATAAGTCGTCAAGTCACCTTTATTTATATAGTGCTTTTAACAATACAGATTGTGTCAAAGCAACTGAACAGCATTAATTAGGAAAATAGTGTGTCAATAATGCAAAATTACAATAGTAAACATTCATTTTTCAGTTAAAGACAGTTCATCATTGAATTCAGTGATGTCATCATCCAGCTCAGTTCAGTTTAAATAGTATCTGTGCAATCATTTGCAATCAAGTCAACAATACAGGAATGCATTTAACCTGCAGTTACAAATGCATTAAAACTGTTTTGATATTTTAAACATAAAACATTGAATACAGATATTTAAAATTATTTTTAAAAAAATGAAAAGGCACTTTAAATGTAAAATCAAAACTGTCAGTAGGTGGCAGCAAGTCACTGTTAATAAGATAGTCATTGCATTGAACCGAATCATTTATACGGTTGATTAATTCAAGAAGAAACACCGTTGCTCAGAGACCCAAATTGGAATTATATATGTTGGCGAAATTGAGCAAAAACAGTCAATATTGTGTCTAAAACATAAGTATCTTGATATTAAATTCTTGTTTACTGAACTGCTATATAAAATCAACATCACATTTGTAATCATGCTGCTTTTTGGTGGAAAAAACGTCAGTCTTAGCATGATACTGATAACTATATGAAATGATATAAATATATACATTTCTGCCCCCATATCTTGAATTTTGTGATCATTCTAAATGCATTTTAGTAAACTGAATCATGCAGTGAAAGAACGCGCACTGATCTAACCGACTAGACTTTAGTTAACACACATAGCTCTTATGAGTCATGGATGCTAGCAAGATAAAGTAAGTATATTTGCCTTTTGGTTAATTAGCTGTAAATTGAGGCATAAGTAGCTTAGTCTTTTGTTCATCACCACTCACCTCCACACCAAGACAAACACAACTGGAAAGGGAGGGAGGGCTTCACTTCTGGGGCTCTCTGCCTGTCTGTGGTGTGATCTGTTTTTATACAGTCTATGGGTGTGATGTGCCGATCAGCGCTACACTGCTGTGCTGCGCGGAGACGCGGAGGGGAGAAAGGCATCGGAACTCAACATTTCCTGACTCGACCTGATATTTAGATTTTTTTAAATTACTTTGACAGGGAAAGCTGTGCGCAAACAGAAACACACGTATATACATATATTCATTTACGTAAAAAAAAAACTCTCCAGAAAAAAGGGCACTTTCTCACAAGGAAGAAAAAGGGCAGGTGCTCAACCCCCCTTTTATGTCTATGTGTGCACGTGCCTGCTCAACATGAGAAACTGCTGGAGATTTACTGTCTCACTGATGAACACTGTATATGTTATCTGTATACAATGGATGAACACAAAAACTATGAGACTGTATCAGCTGCAGCACAGAGGACTGAGAAAGAGGTATGAACTGATATTAGAGCTCCAATGCAATTATTAATATCAGTTGCAATGTGATAAATTTAAATATATATTATAAAGGGTTTAATTTATCATGTAATGGCTGATATAAAAATAAATTGGGTTGTAACATTAAAACTTAAAGTGATTTGGAAGATTAACAATAAAAAAGATAAACTCTTAAAATATATATTTAAGTTTAAAAGTTATTTGATTAAAAACATATATTGAACCATACATTTTCCAAAACAGGAACAGTTGAAGGAAACTTGAAGAAAATAGCACAGAAGCAGCTTTAGGAGCTGAGAGAGGCTGTAAAGTCTCACAAGGTGAGTTTTGAGCAGAAGAACAACTGCTGGCTGCTGAAGAGCTGTTTCAGACTCAGTTAGGACTCTCCTCCAGTCAGTCAGCGAGGAGCCAGTGCTGGAGCTCTTTCAATCCCACTGAAGCTCACTGTGGAGAACAGGCTGTGTGAGGCGGCAGTAAGAGCTAAGTGAATGGACTGATTCTGATGCTTCTCTTTCTGTGTGTCCTAACAGCGCTCTGCACAGACAGCAGTAGAGGACAGTGAGAGGATCTTTACTGATCTGATCCGCTCCATTGAGAGAAGCCGCTCTGAGGTGACACAGCTGATCAGAGATCAGGAAAAGGCTGCAGTGAGTCGAGCTGAAGAACAACTGAAGCGACTGGAGCAGGAGATTGAAGATCTGAGGAGGAGAGATGCTGAGCTGGAGCAGCTTTCACACACATACCATCACATCCATTTCCTCCAGGTAACAGAGATATGACAAACAGGACAGTGGTCTTCAGGAAGGGAAAAGCATGTTGAACAGAGATTGTGTTTCTATCAAATGTTTCTGTGTCTTTGGTGTTTCTCTTGTGTCTTTGTAAACATGCATAGAGAACAAAAAAGGAATTTAGAATAGATTTACATGTATGTATATTAAATTTTCATACATGGAAATTGTACAATTATGTTCTCTGTTCTTTTATTTCACAGTAACATGCATTGAGATCTTTCTCAATCCAGAGCCCAAGACCAGAGAGGAGTTTCTACAATGAAAGTCCCTATACAAACACACGGTCGCTGTGATTTTGCCAAGTAAAACATGTTCTTTTGTTGATCCTGGATCAACATTACTGTCCAAAAATACAGACTTAACCCAATCCCTACCCCTAAACCTAACCTTACCCATAATTTATTCCTAAAATCAGAGGGAAATGATAGCTGATTATCAAGGGTGTAGAAGCACCTAATCTTGATTGTAAGCCTAAAACTGACATTTCCTGAAAAGTTATCTCTCAGTTCTGATTGGTTGATTGGAATGATGTTCCAGGATCAAAAAGAATGTTGATCAAGGAACATGTTGTACTTGGTGAAATCACGCTCACAAAAAAAAAAACACTTATTGTAAAACTAAAATATTTACCCTCTGATAATCAGAATGACACTAACATCATGTAGTGAAAACTTTTTTTCACATCTCAATTAATGTTAATATTACATATTTAAAACAATAAAATACAGCAATTGTTGTGTATTGATATTTTAATTCATATTTCCTGATGCAGATTGTGTTTTTTTCTTCTTTTTTTTCAGATTCTCATCAGTTCACTCTGGATATAAATACAGTGAATAGAAACATCCAGACAGATTTGGTATTTGGCCTCAGGTGTTGTGTAGAGAGAATGTGTGTGGACGCTGTTACTGGGAGGTGGAGTGGAGTGGTTGAGTGGATATATCAGTGTCATATACGAGCATCTGTAGAAAGGGAGAGGGTGACGAGTGTGGATTTGGATTTAATCATCAGTACTAGAGTTTGTACTGCTCTGACTCCAGCTGCTCATTCTGGCACAGTAACAAAGAGACTAAACTCCCCAGAGTCTCCAGCTCCTCTAGAATAGGAGTGTATGTGGATCACAGTGCAGGAACTCTGTCCTTCTACAGTGTCTCTGACACAATGACCCTCAGTCTACACCACGTTCATTCATAATCTGTATGAAGTTTAATTAACAAGGTTCGGTAGGAGCTCGCACAGGTAATCCAATCCATCAGCGTAAAAAGAGACCTGTATATAGCCGTCCATCTCACCTCGGTGCAGTGACAGTTTTGCAGTATCCCTCCTTCACAACAATGCCTCACTTTGACTGTTTTGGGCCAAATTGCATACATTATCATATCTAATCTGATTACATGTAAGTGTGAACTTGAGAACATGGTTTCTGGGGAGATGATGAATCAGTAGTGAAATTAGGGGATGTAACAATAGTACAGAAATTCTACAAATATCATTGATAAATCAGTCAACTGGTGTGACTGAAATTACACACACATCAGATATGAGACTAAACATCTTGACATCAGAACATTTATGGTCATGGTGTAAGAGCGAGAGAAGAATAAATGTATAAAAAATTATTGACAGTAAAATACAAATAATAATTATTGTTCCTTTGAATGTAAATAAAACAAATTGCATGTAAACATGAGAAGCATTATGATGTGTTTTTCTTCCATCCATATTTAATACTGTGCCCACTTTGTGCTGAGGAACATGAAAGTCCAGCTGTGTGGTGGAAATACATGGACACGGAGTGTAAACAAACACAGTGCTGACACACTATACAAATTTAACACAGCAGACACATAAAAATTATACACTGTAAAAAAAGAAGAAAAAAGTAGTGTAGTAAAAAAAAAGCAGTGTACTTGTCACACCACATGGACTCCGTTTTGCACCGTTTCCTGCTCCTTAGTTGTAATGGTTATTCACTTGATTTCATCATTTTGTTCATACGTGTGTGTCTCGCTATCTCCACTATTTAAGTTCTGTTTAGTTTGAGTTTGTAACGGAGCCGATGAGACGAGAGGCATGCGGATCCATATGCAAGCTTTTATTTACAGGCAGGGTCAACACAGGCAAGAGTCGGACACCAGCAAACAGATATGTAGGGGGCAAGACAAAAGAGGAATCCAAAACAAGCAATAATCCAATCGAGGTGCAAACACAGTCCGAATCAGCAAGGCAAAGGGTAATTCCAAGACAGGCTATAAACTTCAGGGCAGGCAGAAATCAGACAGGACGAGATAACAGGCTAGGATCAAGACACAGGAAAACAGACTATGAACAAGGCTAGACTCATGAACTTGGAAGAGATCTGTAAAGTAGCTATCCCTAGGTGAGCAATAAATGCTGAACAGTACTCGGCCTTAAATGGTGGTGTGAGACTGATTTATATAGTGTGTGTTATTGGTAGCAGCTGTGTGTGATTGGGTTCAGGTGAGCTTGTGATTAGTGCAATGGAGCATGGGAAATGTAGTCCAGGGTGATGTGTAACAGTCTGTGTGGTGTGAGAGTCAATATAAAGGGAGGGCGACCTCTGGTGGCAAGTTCATGGACAGGATTCATGACAGAGTTCAGTTGTCAGGTCCTAAATCTATGTTGGAGTTGTGTTGGACTGGTTCTCTGTGTTGGGTTTTGCCTTGTGAATTATTAAAGTCTGTTGGAACTTCATCTTCATCGTCATGTGTTTATCATTATTACACACTTGTGACAGTACTGTGCCTCTCTATTATCAGCTGTCATACGCTGCTGTAGGTGCCGACGGATTTTTGACGTCTTTCACAACTTGTCCGCAAGGGTGAGATGATGATTCTTGAGGTTGTCATCAACTTGCTTCACCCAGGTCTTCTCCGTTGCATAGCGGTGCACTTTCCACGTTGATGGCCATCAGCGCCAGAGTATTTTGGATGGCAGTTGGGCGTTGTCCATTCAGCACATCCATTTGCATTTGAAAGACCTTGAGTTTGTTGATTTCCATCTTCAGAAAGTTCTAAGTCTTTGATCCGTAGAGTAGAATGATCAGGGTCCGGAAAAGGTGCAATGGTTGCGATTTGAATCGCAAATTGGTTGCGATCGTGATGTTGGCCTTCTTCCAAAAGCACCATTTCAGCGATGCAACCACTGCGATCTTCTTCTCCTGCACCAGGGATCCTATACTTTAAATTCTGCACAATGTTTCTGTTTGTTTTTCAAAGCAAAATTGGATTGGGTCACAATGATCCAGATACACTTTTTTTAGATTACCAAATATGGATTACTAGTGCTCTACGCAGCCCCTAAAGGCAGGGGCGTGTCTACGTGGTGGCCAGGGGTGGCACCGCCCCCCCCCTGAAATTTGGCTGGCCACCCCAGGTGCCCCCCCTACCAGATGTCTTGCCATAGGCTTGTTTTTAGTAAATTTCTAACTGCATCTCCACTCGCAAGCAGAAAACTGGACATGTGCTTTTAAATATGCATTGTTCTTTTATGAATTGCCTCTGCTCTCACACAGATATTACGTGTACATTCAAACGTTGTCCTCGCATCACTGAAGACCAGAGGAGCTTTTTTTTCTAATTCAGGTGAAGAGTAGGCTTTTCTCACTAAATGGAATCAAGCTGAATATAGTCAGCCTTTTCTAGTTATTTATTTTATTAATACTTAAAAATAATCACTGAGGGTTCTTATGAAATTAGTGAGGATGCTCTAGTCTTAATGCACATTTTCACATATTTTGTCCCGTCTATTGCTATGGTTATCACCATGTCAAACACTGCTACTTCGAGAGCGAATCCCACATAAATATGCAGATGTCATTCCCGAAACTTTGCAAGGTGTGTGTGTGGCCAAAAAACAAAGTTCTACATTTTAAATTGATTGCCTAGAAAGCTGGCAAAGAGCGCTCATAACCACTAAAAAGCTGTCACTCTTTGTTCATCGCAATCTCACAAAATTCTGTTACCAATGAATCTCACACTGCGCAATTAATATATTATTAACATCGTGTATACACCCCCCGGGGATTTGGGGATATAGTACAAGTTACAAATATTGTATATTTGGACCAGTTTTAAAGTTTTATTACATTTTTGTTCCTGAAATCCAACCTTCTGCTGGAATCAGCATTATCCAGATTTTTTGGATCAAAGGTGTCCCAATCTTACTAAAAGGTTTTAACAAACACAAACTGATGATTGGATTTTGTAATCTAATCTAATTGTAATCTAATGAGTTCAAGGTGAGCACCTTGGTCTTATCAATGTTGATCTTTAGGCCGAATGGTTCAGCGAATCTAGCAATGACGTATAAGGTATTGGTGACCTTGGCGTCCATCCCGGCCAAAATGGCGCTGTCATCTGCAATCGTCAGGTTGGACGCATATCTGTCGATTCCGTATTGGACTCCTCGCTTATCCTTGAATGCTTTTCTCAAGATCGAGTTGATCACTGCATTGAACAAGTTTGGGAAAGCAACATCTCCTTGAAGAACCCCAGTTTGGATGGAGATGTTTCATTTCTGATTCTGACACAGCTTGCAGAGCCACTGTTTAACTGCTGGAGTGAGTTGATACCTATGGGGTTGCTAGAAGATGCTATTTCCAATGACGAACTGGTTGATTGAGGCAAATAATAAAAGGCGCAATCTCTTGTCATTGATTTCACAGATGCCAAACTTGCCCATTGTCTCTTCCCAGCCATCACGGTTAGTGGTAATGTGCGTGTTAAGGTCGCCCACTAGGATGATCAACTGGGTCCTCAGGATCCAGCGTGTGTTGCAATTGGTCAGAGAAGTCGTCTGACTGTGACCCTGTCTGGGCTTGTTTTGGTTGTGGCGTAAATGGCTAGAAAGTGCGCCTGGTTGGTGCCGTGAATGGTTAGTACAGCCAGGCAGATTGATATCAGCTGGACGGCCAATACACTCCTTGTTGTCTGGTCATCCACCATTAAGCTGACTCCAGCCACTCTTTTCTCCCCTCCAGAGTAGAACAGTGCCATTTATTTAATTTGAACTGGATATGTAAACAGTTGTTGTTCCGGATCCAGCAAGTCGAAGTTTGAATAATGCCTCGATTTAGATCTTGCACATCAGCAGCTCTTTGGCAACGATCTCCTTTTAACTGATGTAGTGGCCGGCCTGTCCAAATGTTCCAAGCTCCGAGGCAAATTTCTGTTTCAGTGTGATGATATTCTTTCCAATACTTCCTCCTCGGTTTTGGCCAGTAATCCACTTCCCACCTGCACCCTGGGACCCCAATGCCAGCACATCGGCTCCCCAGTAGCATTTTTGGTGTTTGCGATTTGTCACAGTTCCAACGTTTTTTTGCCTAGTTTCCCTGGCCACCCAGTTCAGGTCATCTTGGCGAGATGACCACTCTCCTCCTTGCTCAGGCCTGGTAAGGCCCTTGCCCCCAGGCTTGGGAACGGTACAGAGGAGTTACAGTGTCCTGTATTAATATAAAAGAATGTGGAATTTTCGCACTTCATTGTGTTGAGTTTTAGGGTTAGCGAAAATGTCCGTAAAATTACTAAATAAGGACCTGGCAAAAAATTACCAGTACAATTTCCCTTTTTTTTTTACTGTCTAGTAAACTGCTTCACTGCGAATGAGGGAAATATGTTAATTAAATGTACTTCCACCAAAAGTCATATTCATATGCCCAGAATATTAACGTGATGTTGAGCCAAATGATAAAGGGAAGAAATCACAAAAATAGTTCAAAACATAAAAAGTTTATTAAACACAACAGGTGTGGACAAATTAATGAAAAACCCATAACAACAAATACAAACTAAAAGTCCATGAA